TCCGTCTCCGCATTGTCGATGCTGGTCGACAACTTCGTCAGCTCCTTCTCCTGTAGACGGATCAGAACTTCGAAGCAGCTCTTATGATACCCACGTTCCAAACGCTTAAACTCTTCGTCCCCTTCGAGTTTCACCTCTGAATCATTACCCATGTAGGTCATTGGAGCTGATTTGAAACTCTTGGGGAGCTTCCCGTCGTTGAACATCTGCTTCAGTCGCTCCAACTTCGTCTTCATTTTCAGCTGCTTGATAATCGCGTCACGGTAGATCTTCGTGTTATTCTCGAGCTGCTGCGTCAGGACACCAGGAATCTTGTCACTCGTGGCGGAACCCGTGGCGGAACCGTGAGTCGTCCCGGTTGACGTAGATCCGTTCGTAGCTGCGATCCACGCCTCGAACGCTGTAACCAGAAGGTTCTTCTGCTGATTAAGAAGGCCCATGACTTCTCCTGGTTCGAGTTGCCGCTGCTGCTGATTTAGCTGTTGCTGCTGTTGTAACAGTTGCTGTTGAAGGGCAGCGTCGATTTTCCCAGCTCGTTCGTAACTGGATCTTGCTGATCACGCGATGCGTCCGTATTAGACGCCATTCCTTTCTTCGCGTGCGCTGCTTCCGTTTCCTGTAACACCTTTTCCAACGAATTAGAAACTATGAAATCCTCTTCGTAAGAAACATGTACAATTACAGGTACGATTTCAGTCGCGACGTTCACAGGAACCGATGAAATGCCAGTTTTATAAATAGTATCGTAACCATTTGGTAGATTCGAATTCTTAGGAATCGTCGCCTGAAGTAGATCGATCGGTGTAGTCGATGGCGGAGCACTTGGTCCACCTTGATTTCCAACCGTCGGGCCTACTTAGTCGGATCAGGTCAGGTCTACCTGGTTAGGTCGGGTCGAGTCTACCTGGTCGGATCAGGTCGGGCCTACCTGGTTGGGTCGGGTCAGGCCTACCTGGCCCTGCTGGCCCCTCGGCCAAAACACGGGGTCGGGTCGGGTCGGGTCAGGTCAGGTCAGGTAGAACCGGCCTCGGCGACCCTGCCTCGGCGACCCTGCCTCGGCAATTCCTAATCGGTGACCCTGCCTCGGCAATTCCTGCTTCGGCGACTCCTGCCTCGGCGACTCCTGCCTCGGCGACTCCTGCCTCGGCGACTCCTGCCTCGGCGACTCCTGCCTAGGCGACTCCTGCTAGCCTATTATTCCTGCCAGCGCTGACGATCACGCAGCAGCAGCAGCAGCAGAAGCTGTCGCTATAGGCCTGGGCACCCTGCCCAGGCGAGCCTGCCCAGGCGACCCTGCCCGGGCGACCCTGCACCGCCTATTCCTGCTGGCATCTAAGACGAAGCAACAGCAGCAGCACAGTATAGGCCTGGCCTGGGCGACCCTGACTGTCGACTCCTGCCAGCGCTGAGGATCACGCAACAGCAGCAGCTGTCGCTGTAGGCCCGGGCGACCCTGCACCACCTATTCCTGCTAGCGTCGTTGACGAAGCAGCAGCAGCCGCTGCTGCGAACGGCAGCGGCGGCGGCATCCCCGCTATGGACAGGAGCGCTGCTGCTCCGCGAGAAGCATGAGACGCGGCGCAGGGAGTGGTGTCTGCAGCAGAGCAAGTGGAACTGGGTGGTGGGAGGCGAGAGGCGAGAGGCGAGGGACGGGGCGGGATCTGGATGCTCCATTACAAGCATGAGACGTGGGCAGGGAGTGGCGTCTACAACGGAACGAGTTGAAATTCGTGGTGATAGGCGAGAGGGGAGAGGCACGGGAAACGAGGCGGGATCTTGCTGCTCCGCGCCGAGCACGAGACGCGGCGCAGGGAGTGGTGTCTGCAGCGGAGTGAGTGGAAATGGGTGGTGGGAGGCGAGAGGCGAGAGTGGGCGTGGAGAGGCGAGAGAAGATACTGCTGCTCCGCGACGAGACGAGCATGCGACGCGACGAGCATGCGACGCGGCGCATGGGGTGCTGTCAATAGCGGAGCGAGAGAAACTGAGTGGTGAGAGGCGAGAGGCGAGACCGGGAGTAGAGAGCCGAGAGGCGAGGGAAACGCGGCGGGATTTAGCTGCTCCGCGACGAGAGGAGCCTGCGGGGCAGGGAGCGGTGACTACAGCAGAGCGAGTGATACTGGGTGGTCGGAGGCGAGAGGGGAGAGGCGTGGAACGGGGCGGGATCTAGCTGCTCCGCGACGAGCGGAGCCTGCGAGAATGCGTTCGAGCGTCACCATGTCGATTGGTTGTAGTCTGTAGTGAAGCTGCGGGTGATTGTAACGAGAGACAGTTTCATGTAGGAGGAAGTTACGACGACGATCACTGTAGTGAAATAATTTATCCGAGTTTGCAGCCTAGAAATGGAGGTGTGACAATGGTGGAAATCGCGACGGTGGCGAACGCGTTACCGAGATTATCCGCGACAGTTACGAGACTTAGTCCTCGACGGTTCGTTGAGATACGCCATTTTTGAAAGCAAACATCTGCGATATAAAGCTGCGCGTTACCTCGAATCGCACGAATGCGGTTCAGAGAGTTGTTGTACGGTTGACAACGTTCTATTAAAAACTTACATCGGTTGGGTAGGTTACTGAGCGCCTACGAATATTTTAGTCACACACGACACAATTATGTTTCCACTTTCGACAACCGTTGGTGTAAGTCCGTAATGCTGCTTAAGCAAGCCCTCCTGCTTCCCGCATTTGCCGCAGCGGCCACGTCATCCATATCCCGCGTCGCGCCACGTGTACCACGCCAATATCGTTCTCTCTGCAGTCTGTGGGCCGTGTTCCAGGCACAAGCTGCATGCTCCGTTAGTGTCAACCCCGCTAATAGCAGAGAGTGCACTCCACCTCCGCGCCGCCCAACACATCATCTTCCTCCGCCTCCAATGTCGACATCGGTAGGCTTTCTGACGTCAGCATGCCGCTATGCCGCTGCCGCTGCTCTTCCCCGCGCTGACATCAGCGCGAGTGACGCAGCCGGCAGGAATGACGTCAGCCATTTCGCAAGCGATGTTGGAAACCCAATCAGGCGACAAACCCGCGGTGACGCCTTATCGTTTAGAAGAAACGGCGCGTTTTCCGCGGGGAGCTGGACACGTGGCGCAGGTGGCGCCGAAATGCCGGCGTTTTCTAGAGGCGCGGGGCTCCGAAGGTTCCAGGTGGTGTCGCCGGTGTGCATGGGACGGCGATCGTCAAAGATCGCGACGCGTAAGGTGCGGAGGGTCGGTCAGTAGCGGCGGAAAATGGATTCTTGCGCGGGGAACGAGCGCGCAAGGTGTGCGGGAAATGAGCGAGCAAAGAGGGAAACTGGAGATGGGGGGAATGCGGGGTTGCAGAACGAGGGATGTCGGAAGGGAGAAGGAATGGTAGCAAGCAATCATGGGACGGGGGGCGCGCGGGAAAACTGTGAGAATCAAGGCGGGGGAGTTGAGAAGGTGTCCCGAGCGGCGATGGAGCGGGCAGGGGGGAATGTGCGAGGAGTGAACGCGCAAGGTGCGCGCGGGGCCAGACAAAGGGGGCGTTTTTTTGTCTTGAATTGACTCAAACAGCCACGGAAGGCCTTCCGAGAGGAGCTGGGGCGGGTATGGGAAGCTCTGAGACATCTCAAAAAGGTCATCTAGGGTTTTGTGAGAGGAGTTGGGGCGGGTAGGGGGAAGGACAGTGCAAGGTGCGCGGGGAATGAGGCGACGGGGGCAATCAGTGCGGCTGCGATCGGTGATTGCAGCCGACTCTAAATCTCTATGCAGGGGATTGGGAAGAGGAAAGGGGGAGTGGGTGCGGTGAAATGGTTAGAGCAATGGTGTGGTGCGGTGCATAAGGGCCATTTCACTCCTTCCCAAGAGGCGCTTATACCTCATGGGGGAAGTGATGAGGAGTGGATGGGAAAGGGGGGGGGGATGGGGGAAAGGTTGACAGGGGGGAACGGTAACACATCAGTGGGGGAAAGGGGCGCTTGGGAAGGGGGGGTAGAGAAATAGAGAATGGACGGAGTTCGGGACAGGGGAAGGGATGGGGGAATGAGAGAGAGGGGGGAGGAGAGAAGGGGATGTGGATTGAGCAGAGGGGGATGGGAGAAGGGGATAATGAGATGAGCGATAGAGACGATTTTTAGGCGCCTTAGGAATAATCTCATTAATAGTTTATAGGCCGCTAAAAATAATGGTAGTGGGATGAGCGATGGCGATCTCAGAACTGGAGGGGGAGAGGTAGCGAGGGGGGATTGGGGGAAGAGGGGCATTGGGGTTGACGGGTTCAAAGCCTTGAGGTTTCAGGGTTTAAGGCCTGTCTTGGGTGCTTCGGACCTTTGAGTCCCCCTTCCCCCTTTCCCCTCTCCCCTCCGAGCAATCACTGTAATGACTTCAGATTGCACAAGACGCACGCAGAGTCTTTGTGTTACCCTCGCCTCGCCTGCCCTCCCCACCCCCACCCCCCATCCCCCCTCCCTCCCCCCCCCCTTCCCCCTCTTCTCCCACCCCGTTGCTTTTCCTTGAATGAAAGCTCTGGTTGACAGCAGATAGCACAGGGCTTTAACATTTTTGAGACGTCTCAAAAATCTACTTTCTACACTCTGGTTGACAGCAGATAGCACAGGGCTTGAACAAAACGTTTCTAAGTTAACCTCCCCCGCCCCCACTCATCTCCCCTCCCATCTCCTCCCCCCACCCCTCCTCCCTTCCTCCCCCCTTCCCCCCTCAAAATCATTCCCACTCAAGAACTCTCTGTGTTGAGTGCAGAAAGCACTGTGCGGCACAGGAATGCGTTCCATGTGGGTTGTTTTTGAGAATTCTCAAAAACAACCTGCAGCATTATAGACTTGTATTTTGAGGCGCCTCAGAATTCTCAAAAACAACCTGCAGCATTATAGACTCTCACCCTGTGACACATTTCTCAGCTTCCCTCACCCGCCATCCGTACTACCCCTTTCCCCTTCCCGCCCTTCCCCCACCCCTCTCCCCAATTGAAAACATCTCCCATCCTTGTTTCCCCTTTCCCCAAACCTCTGTGCCTTAGTGCAGAATGCACAGGAAGCGCGCAAGTCGAAGCTGTACGGCAATCGTTCGAATTTACCCTTCCCTCCCCCCACCCACTCTGCGACCCTTCCGGCCACTCCCCCCACCCACTCCCTCCCCCCTTCCCTCTCCCAGCATTTCTGCTGAGAGCAGAATGCACAAGACGCACGCAAGTTGAAGCTGTACGGCGAATTCTTGAGTTGTCCCAGCAACCTTGCTCCCCCTTTCCCCCCGTCCCCTGCCCCCCGAATCCCTGTGTTGAGAGCAGAACGCACAGGACGCACATAAGGCATTTCCCAGCTACCCTCACCCACCGCCAACCTTGCTCCCTCTTTTCCCCTTTCCCCCGCACCCCAACACCTCTCTCCACCCCCCCCCCCCCCCCCCCCCCCTCTCAAATCTCTGTGGTGAGTGCAGATCATATCCGCGTGAGTGCAGATCATATCCGCGTGAGTGCAGATCATATCCGCGTGAGTGCAGATCATATCCGCGTGAGTGCAGATCATATCCGCGTGAGTGCAGATCATATCCGCGTGAGTGCAGATCATATCCGCGTGAGTGCAGATCATATCCGCGTGAGTGCAGATCATATCCGCGTGAGTGCAGATCATATCCGCGTGAGTGCAGATCATATCCGCGTGAGTGCAGATCATATCCGCGTGAGTGCAGATCATATCCGCGTGAGTGCAGATCATATCCGCGTGAGTGCAGATCATATCCGCGTGAGTGCAGATCATATCCGCGTGAGTGCAGATCATATCCGTGTGAGTGCAGATCATATCCGCGTGAGTGCAGATCATATCCGCGTGAGTGCAGATCATATCCGCGTGAGTGCAGATCATATCCGCGTGAGTGCAGATCATATCCGCGTGAGTGCAGATCATATCCGCGTGAGTGCAGATCATATCCGCGTGAGTGCAGATCATATCCGCGTGAGTGCAGATCATATCCGCGTGAGTGCAGATCATATCCGCGTGAGTGCAGATCATATCCGCGTGAGTGCAGATCATATCCGCGTGAGTGCAGATCATATCCGCGTGAGTGCAGATCATATCCGCGTGAGTGCAGATCATATCCGCGTGAGTGCAGATCATATCCGCGTGAGTGCAGATCATATCCGCGTGAGTGCAGATCATATCCGCGTGAGTGCAGATCATATCCGCGTGAGTGCAGATCGAATCAAATCCGCGTGAGCAGTGCTTCCAGCAACTCGGCGATGGCAGCACTGCTCATGGCACTGCCAGGCCAGGTTTGGTCCTCCTTGCAGCACTGCTCTCAGCACCAGACGTGTGATGAGGCGATTTTTGAGTCGACTCAAAAATTGCAGCACTGCTCTCAGCACCCCGCTCCCCAACCTTCGTCTTCCACCTTTCCTCGCCCACCCTTCCTCGCCAAACCTCCCAGAGTCAAGGCAGCCGGCCCCAGCCCTGCCAGCAACTCGGCGCCGGCAGCTCTTCCCCTACCCCTTCCCTTTCCCTTTCCCCTCCCAGAGTCATACAGCCGGTCCCAGCCCTGCAAGCAACCCAGCACTGGCAGCGTGCTTCAAGCCACCTCCCCCTCCCCCCCCCTGACCCTTCCGCCCACGCTCCCCTCCCTGTCCGTTCCCCTCCCAGAGTCAAGGCAGGCGGCCCCAGCCCAGCAAGCAAATCAGCGCAGCGCCGGTACCACTGCTTTCAGCCTCCTCCACCTCAACTCCGCTTCCCATCCCTTCACCCCCCTTCCCCTCTCTCCCAGAGTAAAGGCAGCCGGCCCCAGCCCAGCAAGCAACTCGGCACTGGCAGCGCTGCTGGTGGCGGCGAAGCAAGGGGGAGTGCCCAAAGATGTGATCGATCGGAGGAACACACTTATTAACACCCCTCTCAACAATCACCTGCCCTGTCCCCTCACCTTCTCCCCGTCAACCCCTGTCCCCTCACCTTCTCCCCGTCAACCCCTTTCCCCTTGCTCCCAGTGTGAAAGCAGTGGGAGTCGGGACCCAGCCCGGCCAGTAACTCAGCCCTGGCAGCGCTGCTGGTGGCGGCGAAGCAAGGGGGAGGAGTGAGTGCCCAAAGAGGTGATTGGTCAACACCCCCACACCATCAGCACCCCCTTCCCCTTCCTTTCCCCTTCTCTCGCAGAGTCAAAGCAGCCGGTCCCAGCCCTGCAAGCAACTCAGCGCTAGCAGCGCTGCTGGTGGCGGCAAAGCAAGGGGGAGTGAGTGCCCAAAGATGTGATCGAGCAGTACCCCCACACCATCAGCACCCCCTTCCCCTCTCTTTCCCCTCCCCTCCCAGGGTCAAGGCAGGGGGCCCCAGCCCTGCAAGCAACTCAGCGCTGGTAGCGCTGCTGGTGGCGGCAAAGCAAGGGGGAGTGCCTAAAGATGTGATCGATCGAAACATCAAACGCGCGACAGAGAAGGGGCAGGCGGATTTTACCGAGATTGTGTATGAGGTGAGTGTGATTGTGACTGTAAAAGTGCGTGATTGTAAGGGGGAAGGGGGGGGGGGGGTGGGGTGGTTAGGGGGGAGTAACAGAGCAGCAAGGGGAAGTGCCCAAGGAGGTGATCAATCGGAACATCAAACGGGCGATGGAGAAGGGACAGGCGGATTTCACTGAGATCGTGTATGAGGTGGGTGTGTGTGTGTGTGTGTGTGTGTGTGTGTGTGTGTGTGTGTTTGTGTGTGTGTGTGAGAGTGCGCGTGCACGAGCGTGCGTGCATATGTGTCTGTGGTGTGGTGTGAGGTGAGGTGAGGTGAGGTGAGGTGAGGTGAGGTGAGGTGAGGTGAGGTGAGGTGAGGTGAGGTGAGTTGAGGTGAGGTGATGTGAGGCGATGTGAAGTGAGTTGCGGTGAGGTGCGGTGCTGTGGCATGTCGTGGCTTGGTGTGATGTGATGAAGTGAAGTCCCCATGCACACCCCTTACTCGAGCACTTCTGACGTCACTACTAGTACTACCCTACACATGTTCCTTTTCTCCTACACCCACTACTCGATACAAGAACTAAGGGCAACTTTTTGGAAAGGGGTCGGCATAGTGGTGGGTGTGCTAACAGACAAGACTATCCACTTATTGCCAGACACATGTTCTCTACACTTTGTACTCGATATAGGGCAGATTTACGGGCTCGGAGGAGTCGGCATAGTGGTGGACGTGCTAACAGACAAGACTGTCCATTTATTGCCGTACCCATGTTCTCTACACTTGGTAATCGAGATAATAACTTGGGCAGGTTTACGGGCTCGGTGGAGTCGGCATAGTGGTGGACGTGCTAACAGACAACAACGCCCGGGCGGCAGCTACAGTGCGAGACGTGGTGCGCAAGGGCGGCGCCAAGATGGCCGATCCGGGATCCGTGCTCTTTAATTTCAAGAGGTGCGCTCTTGAATTTTTTAATGTCATCTCTTTCAGAAGGTGGTGCACTATATATGCAACACCCTCTGTGCTCACTACAGTGCGAGACGTGGTGCGCAAGGGCGGCGCCAAGATGGCTGACCCGGGCTCCGTGCTATTTAACTTCAAGAGGTGCGCGCTTGCATGTACGAATGTCATCTCTTTCAGAAGATGGTGCGCTATATATGCAACACCCCACCATCTACACTCACTCCAGTGCAAGATGTGGTGCGAAAAGGGGTGCCAAGCTGGCCGATCCGGGATCCGTTCTCTTCAACTTCAAGAGGTGTGCTCTTGAATCTAGTAAGGGGGTTTCTTTCCATGTTCACTGTACACCCGGGCGGAAACTACAGTGTTGGAGGGACGTGGTGCGGAAAGGGGGTGCCAAGATGGCCGATCCAGGCTTTGTGCTCGTCAATGTCAAGAGGTGCGCTTTTGAATAAAAAATGGGTTTCCTTTCAAGATATCTGCCCTACATGCGACATATTGTATGTTCACTATACGCCCGGGCGGCAGCTACAGTGTCGGTGGCATGTGGGCTGGATGGAATTGATGGAGAGAAGGTGGCCGATCCGGGCTCTGTGCTCTTCAATTTCAAGAGGTGCGCTCTTGATGTGTTTTCTGTCTAGAGAGATGAGCTTTTGAAATCAACAGTGGGGGTTGCTGTATGCCTGGGCGGTAGCTACGGTGTCGGTGGGATGTGGTGAGGAATGGAGGCGCCAAGCCAAGATGGCTGATCTAGGCTCTCTGCTCTTTAACTTCAAAAGGTGATTCATTGATTCTGTCAAGGTTTCACGTATGCCGGGCGGCAGCTACGGTGTCGGTGGGACGTGGTGCGCAAGGGGGGCGCCGAGATGGCTGATCCGGGCTCTGTGCCATTGTAACGAGGTGACTTTTTTAATCTCTCAAAAGGTAGGTTTCCAAAACAAATAGATGATTTTATTTCAAGGGGTGAGCTATCGAATGTGGCTAGTGGGGCATATTCAATGCTTGTTTCATTCGCCTTTTTTATCTCGAAGCACTTCACAAATCGTGGTTTTTCTTTTTCTTATTCTTTTTTTTTTTATCCCTTAAAACCAGGGTCTCACGTAGATCATTTGTTTTGCAGTTGATCACTTCACCTTGGTTGGGATTGGTTGGCGAGGTGTAAAGAATGACGGGCGGTGTGACGAGGGGAGCGAAGGAAACACAATTCGCAGTTTGTGTCCGAACCATCTAGGCACGGAAATTGGTTCGGTGCCAAAGCTAGAACACCAGCAAAATGTTAGAGCATCCCGTCAGTCTCATGTACCCATCGAAATGTTTTGCAATTGAATCAGAGGCAAAAACGGGAGGTGTCGCACAATCAATTCCCAACCCAACCCCTAGACTTCGCCACCACAAACAGGGTGACGAAGCTTCAATTGTTTTGCAGTTGATCACAATTTCTCTTACGTGAGACCCTGGTTTTAAGGGGCCTATGGTGTCCTCCCCCTTCCATTTCTCCTCTTCCCCTCCTCCCAATCACCTCAGGCAAGGCATGTTGGCCGTATCAGCAGCCACGGCAGATGGTGGGGACTGTGGATGCATGGGCTGATGGTGCTCATTTCCTTCTCTTTATTCGTTTCATATCCCTCTTCTCCACTCCTCGCAGAGAAGGCGTGTTGGCTGTCCCAGCAGCCACGGCAGACCCGGATGAGGTGTTGGTGGTGGCGGTGGATGCAGGTAGTGCTGAGGGCGATTCTTGTGCTCATTCCTATCCTTTCCATTCACCATCTCCCAACCACCACAGGGAAGGAGTGTTGGCCGTACCAGCAGCCACGGCAGACCCAGATGAGGTGTTGGTGGTGGCAGGGTATGCAGGAGCTTTGAGACGTCTCAAAACGAGGTGTTGGTGGTGGCAGGGTATGCAGGAGCTTTGAGACGTCTCAAAACGAGGTGTTGGTGGTGGCAGGGTATGCAGGAGCTTTGAGACGTCTCAAGACGAGGTGTTGGTGGTGGCAGGGTATGCAGGAGCTTTGAGACGTCTCAAGACGAGGTGTTGGTGGTGGCAGGGTATGCAGGAGCTTTGAGACGTCTCAAGACGAGGTGTTGGTGGTGGCAGGGTATGCAGGAGCTTTGAGACGTCTCAAGACGAGGTGTTGGTGGTGGCAGGGTATGCAGGAGCTTTGAGACGTCTCAAGACGAGGTGTTGGTGGTGGCAGGGTACGCAGGAGCTTTGAGACGTCTCAAGACGAGGTGTTGGTGGTGGCAGGGTATGCAGGAGCTTTGAGACGTCTCAAGACGAGGTGTTGGTGGTGGCAGGGTACGCAGGAGCAGATTCTGCTCTCTTCATTCTTCACATATCCCTCTTCTCTCTGTCTGTCAGGCAAGGTGTGCTGGCGGTCCCAGCAGCCACGGCACACCCAGACGAGGTGCTGCTGGTGGTGCTCACTCCCCTCCCTTGCTTATCTCTCCTCTCCCCCCCTTTATAATCACTTTCAGGGAGGGCGTGCTGGCGGTCCCAGCAGCCACGGCAGACCCAGATGAGGTTTTGGTGGTGGCGGTGGATGCAGGGGCTGATGACGTCATCAACCCTGGGGAGGACATGGCTGGGGGAGGTGGAGGCGGAGGGCATGGGGAGGAGGGCGAGGAGGAGGAGCAGTAAGTTGGGGGAAGCCTGCCCGCTCCTTGTTTTCCTTGATATTTTGGTCGAGGTGACTTTGAAGTGCCTCAGCAGGCTGCTCGTTTTTGTGTTCCTTGTTATTTTAATCGCGGCGAGGCGGGGAAGGGTGGTTTCAGTGTTTTTCGTTTTGTTTGTTTGCTGTTCTTTTTTTTTTGTTCTTTCTGTCTTGTTTTCTCTCTTTGTGTGCGTGCGTGCGTGCGTGAGTGTGTGTGTTCTCCCTAATGTTCTGGATTTCCCTGCAGTCCCCCTCCCCACTCCCTTTTTCTCTCCCACTCTCCCACTTTTCATCTCATCCCCTTCAGACTTTCCCCTTACATCTTTCTCTCTCCTTCACCCTTTCTCTCAGGTTATTCCGAGTGCTAACGCCATGGTTTGGTAGGTGGGGAGGGCCTCTTCTGTGATCATATCGCCAACGAGGCACACCAGGTAGTCGTCTGGGAGAGTTTGCTGCCCTGACTTGCAGGTCGGAGAGCTCATCTATGAAAGAGTCTTGCTCGGGATGGGGCAGGTAGTCCTGTGGGGGGAGGGGGTAAGGAGATGGGGAAAGGCGGGTCAGGGATACACCAGGTAGTCGTCTGGGAGAGTTGCTGCTCTGGCTTGCAGGTCAGCAAGTTTTTCTATGAAGGAGTCTTGCTCGGGATGAGGCAGGTAGTCCTGAGGAAGGGGGAGGCGGGGGACGAGAGGAGGGGATAGGGAAGTTGGGGGGGATAGGAGTCTTGCTCGGGCTGGGGCTGGCGCTGGTCTCGTCCTTGGATCCGTCGAGAGTGTTGAGCTGAGCAAGGTATGGTAGGTGGGGAGGGCCTCTGAGGTGATAATATCCCCCACGAGGCACACCAGGTAGTCGTCTGGGAGCGTCGCTGCCCTGGCTTGGATTTCAGCAAGCTGGTCGAGAAAAGAGTCTTGCTCGGGGTGGGGCAGGTAGTCCTGGGGGAGGTGGGGAGGAGCGGAAGGGAGGGGAGGGGAGGGGAAGGGAGGGGAGGCGGATGAGAGGAGAAAGCACAAAGCAACCAGGTTGTCTGGTTTAGCGTTGCTGCTCTGGCTTGCAGGTCAGCTAGTTCGTCCAAGAAAGAGTCTTGCTCGGGATGGGGCAGGTAGTCCTGTGTAAGGGCGAGGGGGTAAGGGGATGGGAAAAGGTGGGTCAGGGGCACACGGGGTAGTCGTCTGGGAGAGTCGCTGCCCTGGCTTGGAGGTCAGCTAGTTCGTCCAAGAAATATTCCTGCTTGGGATAGGGCAGGTAGTCCTGGGGGAGGTGGGGAGGGGAGCGAAAGGGAGGGGAGGGGAGGGGAGGGGAGGCGGATGAGAGGAGAAAGCACAAAGCAGCCAGGTCGTCTGGGAGAGTCGCTGCTCTGGCCTGCAGGTCAGCTAGTTCGTTGAAAAACGAGTCTTGCTCGGGATGGGGAAGGTAGTCCTTGGGGGGGTGGGGTGGGGAGCGGAAGGGAGGGGTATGACATGTGAGGACCTCACCGCACCACACCGCTCCTCACCGCATGTCACTGCACCTCACTGCACCTCACTGCACTTCACCTCACCTCACCCCACCTGCGGCTGCCAGCTGGCCTCGACAGGCTTGAGCAGTGGCAGCAGCGTGCTTTCCGCCCAGCCGTCCATGGATTGCACGACCGCCAGGCGCTCCTTTGTGATGGTATGTGTGCGCTGCTGCGGCACCACCACCGTCGGCCCTGCCTTCTTACTACTGGCTGAGCCATTCACCCTGTGGTGGAAACACACACGCAGAAGGAGGGAGGGGGAAGCGAGGGTTGGGAGAGAGAGGGCCATCCATGGGGCGACTGCACGATTGCCAGCCTCTCCCTCATAATGGAGTGCTCCCCGCCCAGCCATCTATGGATTGCACGACCGCCAGTCGCTCCTTCGTGATGGTATGTGTGCACGCTGCTGTGGCACCACCACTGTTGGCCCAGCCTTCTTAGTCGCTGCCGAACCGTTTCTAGGGGAATCAGTCACCCTGTGGTGTGGTGGAAACACACACGCGGAAGGAGGGAGGGGGAAACGAGGGTTGGGAGAGAGAGGGCCATCCATGGGGTGACTGCACGATTGCCAGCCTCTCCCCATAATGGAGTGCTCCCCGCCCAGCCATCCATGGACTGCACGATCGCCAGTCGCTCCTTTGTGATGGTGTGTGCGCGCTGCTGCGGCACCACCAGTGTCGGGCCTGCTTTCTTGGCTGCCGAGCTGTTCGCAGGAGAACCTGACAGCCTGTGGAGTGGGGGAAGGGAGGAGAAGGGGACAAGGGGATTGTGATTGCCAGTCAAACCCTACTGTGTGATGGTGTGCGCGCACCGCTGCGGCATGGAAGGCAGGGGGTTGTGATGGTATGAGCACGCTGCTGCGGCACCACCAGCGTTGGGCCCTTCTTGGCTGCCGAGCCGCTTGCAGGAGGGCCCAACGCTGAGCCGGCACCACCAGCGTTGGGCCGCTTGCAGGAGTGCCGGACACCCTGGTTGGGGTTTGGAGGGGGGAAGGGGAGAGCGACACACATGGAAGGCAGGGGGGTGCGATGGTATGAGCACGCTGCTGCGGCACCACCAGCGTCGGACCCTTCTTGGCTGCCGAGCCGCTCGCAGGAGAGTGTGACACCCTGTGGTGGAAGCTGGTCTTGTGACATAATGCTCGCTGAGAATTATGTCACAAGGTCACACCACCAGTGTCGGACCCTTCTTTGCCGCCGAGCCGCTTGCAGGAGAGTCTGACACCTGTGGTGGAAGCACACACGTGGAAGGAGGGAAGGGGCCATTCAAGCAACCGGCCAGCAATCATTGCCAGCCGGCCATGGGTCATCACCAGCCACCCATGGGGCATCGCCAGCCGGCCATGGATCATCACCACATGCTTCATGCTACGCATGTGCTGCAGCGGGGCAGCCAGGAAGTTTGCTTTCGACGGCGAGGGGAGGGGGGTGGGGTGGGGGGGAGAAGGGAGAGGAAAGCGGGGGGGGGAAGTGTGGGCGGACAGAAATGTTGGAGTCACTTTTGAGAATTCTCAAAACTGACTCCAATTTAGCGACGGAGCACCGGGGGTCAGTCAGATGCTTCGTGCTACATCCCGGTGGCAGGCACATGCGTTTCTACAGCGCAACGGCCACATGCTCTGTGACGCAGCAACAGACCGAGGACAGTGAACTCCCTGAGGTTGCAGGAGATTTCTGAGAGCTCTCGATCATCTCCTGCCCCGTGGCACATGCGCTACAGCGTGGCGGTCACATGCTCTCTGACGCAGCAACAAACCGAGGATAGTGAACTACCTGAGGTTGCAGGAGATTCCGTCCATTTGTTTGAAGAAGTGTTTTGAGACGTCTCAAAACACTTCTTCAAACACGTAACAAACCGAGGATAGTGAACTCCCTGAGGTTGCATTAGAATTCTCATAAATCTACTCCGCCGTGGCACATGCGCTACTGCGTAGTGGCCACATGCTCTGCGACGCACCACGCGGGAGGCCACTGGGGAGGAGCAGACGGGGGAGGAAGGAGGAGGCGGGAGGAAGATCAAGTAGGCGGGAGGAAGATCAAGTAGGCGGGAGGAAGATCGAGGAGGCGGGAGGAAGATCAAGGAGGCGGGAGGAAGATCAAGAAGGCGGGAGGAGTAACCTGACTGGACGCAGCAACAAACCGAGGACAGTGAACTCCCTGAGGTTGCAGGAGATTCCGTCCATTTAGAATTCTCACAAATCTACTCTATGATGACGAGAGAAGTGAATCCGACTTGTAGAAATCTGATAAGACCTGATATTTCAGGCGTGCAAATTCTTTAGAAAAATGGAGCAGACTCCGCCGTTCCGGCTCGGAGCGGCGTAGGAGAGCTTAAATCGCCGTGGCGCCACGAATTAGTGTCGTGCGACGTAAAAATTGCTCCCTCCCCCTTTCCTCTCCCAAGCACTCCTCCCATCCTCTCCGAGGGGGGCTGCGGGGTGCACGACGTCGCCGTGCGAGGCGAATACAGAGTTACCCCCTCGGCGAAGGGTTACTGAGTTTTCGCGCACCAATGCAACGATGACATTTGCAGGAAGTGTTGAAAATCATTTCTACCCGTGGAAATCGTCAGAAGCTTTTTGAGTCGACTCAAAAGAACATTGAATCGACTCAGAAAAGTTTCCACCCGTGGAAATCGTCACAAGCGGTGAAAAACTTGGTATAAGCGGTCTCGATGGACATTTCAGGGTGACTTTAGTGCGAATAACGAGCGGCTTACTTGGGAGGAATGGTCGCAGTCATCGTCCATCGCGACGCGCTTCCGGCAGCGACGCCGTGCGACAACATCAGCGAAACGGGTTTCGCGGAAATCGCGAGGCGCTTAGCATTCGCCAGTGAATTCGCAGACGTCGCTGAGAGGCTCGCGACAGCGGGGCTCGCGGAGAGCGAAAGAGAAGCCATGCTATTGCGACGGCAGATGGCAATAATACAAGAGTAACAATTACAGCTTAAAAGTTGTTAAACGCGAGGTAAGGCTCAGGATAAGGGCTCCAGTGGAACAGCGGATGACAGTTGAAGGATGGGTGGGGGAATGAATGAAAGTGAGGATAAGTTCTAAATCTGATGTGGAGCTATCAAGTGTTCTCCTTCACACGAGTGACACTTTCAAGCAGAGACGTAAGGGCGTGTGTGGCCGACAGGGAGTGAAGAATACTGACAACGGTTGGAGGAAACGTGAATGTGGCGGGAAAGTCGGCAATGGCAGGCTTTGGACTAAGATTGTTGGTTTCCCTCTCAGAACCTACCGTACCGCTGTAGATGCTTTCTGAATTGTTCTCTTTACGCAACGCACCTCCCTGTACCGTAATACGGTGAATTGATGCGTCAATTTTCCCCTTGATGACATGCAAACAGCCGAGAGGGAGGCGAAGGATGGCAAGGATTCCTTCGCAGCTCATAGAACTGACATAGTTACCAAGTCAGCGTTGATGGGTGACGATTTCGCTTGCATGCGAAGATGGGGGGAAATACTGTTCTAGCGAACCTACTGTCAGAATTGAGTTCCGTGAAGATAAGCTCGCTCGACCTCCATGCAATTCCGTATCAGCAGGTGGACGATTGCGCCGAGATTGAGGGGAGGAACCTGGCGGATCGCGAGCCCAGTCGCGACTCGACACAGATGCGGGTTGCGAGTTGGGTGACTGAAGTGACGAAGATTCACGACCGTCCAGATTTTCGGCGATTGGGAACAACAGGAAGCGTTCGCATTGCACGACGAGGCGAAGCCGTCGTCAAGTGGTTGACGGTCGGTCAGCCATGCTCGCTGCTGCAAGGTCGGGGCGCGTGGCGACAAGCCCAAGGTTCTCGCACGCAATGGTAAGAAGTCGCCCTTGAATGATGCCCATGACTTACACGTGTGAGCTGAACTAGCCAAAACGAGGTGGCGCCGAGGCAAATTACTACCATAATAATTGACTACATTGTCCTTCTCTACACGAAGCAAGTGACTACTCCTTTACTTCAAAGCAAAATGGAAAAGTTATATTTACTTAATTGCCTGCGCCAACACAGATGCAACATTGACTTACCCGTAGCATGTTGATACACTAACTCCTTCTAAAGTGTCTACTCCTATTTTATGCTGCCAGCAACCCACTACCACCACGACATTCTAAAGGAGGGACCTGACATGCGTAATAGCAAACGACATAAACGACCGACCAGGAATATAAAACCACAAAGGCTTGGTTCCTCTACTGTAGTGAATCTCTGCAAAGTCCTCAGAGAACGAAGTCCGCCACGAACGAACATGTGTTTTCCCGCCAGCATTCCTTCGAAACCACCAAACCAAGGCATGTGAACCTTTACTCTCCTCGTTGCACCCTTCTGATTCACCACAAACACGCTAATCAATCTCTTTGTCGGGGTGTAGAATGCAGCAATCCCTAAGTGGCACTCCGGCTTGTTAATGAGCAGCCTCTTGCTCCCTGGAAGAGCAAGGCTTGTGAAATGCTTCAAAATCCAAAACTTCTCAGACACCAGCGGCGGAGTGTAGACTGTAGACGAATCTGGTACTTGAGACCAGTCAATGTGGATCAAGGCCCACGATGCGACGGGGTCGATTGCCTGCCAATACACCCATCCAGTAGCTTCCAAAATGTTGACCGACGCAATGATTGATCTTGCCATGAACAGTGCAACATCCGTATCCTCCCCACCCCGCGACATTGGCCCCCATTCCGAAACAAACACCCCCTTCGCCTGAGATTTCGTGATATCCTTCATCACCTGAAAATTCTGCGCCGTGTATTCGACCGGATTCGTCCCGTTTTTTGCCAAACTCATGTAACCATGCACGTTGTAACGAATCAGGAATGGGCTGAGAATGCTCCCAATTTGTCTCGGAATGGTTTGCACGAAGCTATCGACCCCAGCCAGCTTCGTTTTAAGCTGCTTGTTTTCAAGTGCAGCCTGCACCTTGGGTAAAATGCGTCTCATCTGTTGTATATTGATGTTGCACCCCTCCTGCCCTCCCCCCTGCTTCCACCACCCTTTCAACGCCTCGTTAAACGGCTCCAAAGTGTCAAACACCAATCCATGGCCCCATGTTTCATCCGTTGCAAATTTCTGCACCACGTCGGTGAGATATTCTGCAAAAGCTGTTTCATATTCCACCTTCAAATTACCCTGCCCGTATGTGGGCGCGCCCGCAACATCCCCCGAGATTGTCATCCACCACGGCGGGCTGTTGGCAAAAGCATCGATCCTGTCTGCCCCCCGCGCCCGGGCAGCAAACAAAACTCTCTGCTGCCTGTCGTCCGCTGACCAATCATAAGCCGCTTCCTCTGTGGCTTTAAATCCAGGCATGCCCCGCCATTTGACATACTGCAGGCGCAGCTGCACGAGTATGGGCTGATGCTGGATGCAACCTTTCCCCTTTATGGGCTGCCCCTTTAACCTACTTTCCTCTCTCTCCCTTTCTCCGCTCCCCCTCATCCTCCACTCCTCCACGGTCTCTCTCATCTCAGGTTCTTCCGAGTGCTCACGCCAGCAGAGTCCTTTGCATCGGTGCAGGCGCAGCTGCAGGAGTATGCGCTGACAGTAGACGCAACCCTTCATGCACGTGTGACCCCTCTCATACACTTCTCTCTCCTCTCTCCCTTCCCTCTCCTTCCCCCCCATCTCTCCTCCATTTCCCCACCAGGTTCTTTCGAGTGCTCACACCAGCCGAGTCCTTTGCGTCGGTGCGAGCGCAGCTGCAGGAGTATGGGCTGACGGTAGACGCGGAGCACTCAGGCCTCATGTTTATCCCCACCGCCACCATGCAGGTACACTTGTTACGATGCAGGTACATCTGTTAGGATGCAGGTACATCTGGGGTAGGTAGGGTGGTCTACAATGGAGTGGTCTTAGGTGCACAGCTTGAGCGCGTGGGGCGCAGCTGCAGGAGTATGGGCTGCTCAGACCTCATGCTGCCACCATGCAGGTACATCTGGGACAGGGTGGGTTGGGGTAGGGTGGGTTGGGGAAGGGTGGGCTGGGGTAGGGTGGGCTGGGGTAGGGTGGGCTGGGGTAGGGATGGCACAGGGCGCAGCTGCAGGGTTATGGGCTGGCGGTGGATGCGGAGCACTTAGGCCTCATGTTCATCCCCACTGCTGCCATGCAGGTACAACTAGTGTAGGGTGGGCTGGGGTAGTGAGGTCTGGGGTAGAGGGGTCTGGGGTAGAGGGGTCTGGGGTAGAGGGGTCTGGGGTAAGGGGTCATGTTCATCCCCACCGCTGCTATGCAGGTAGGTCTGGGGTATTGTGGGTTTGTGTAAGGCTTTCAGCTGCAGGAGTATGGGCTGACAGGGGATGCGGAGCGTTCAGGGCTCATGTTCATTCCCACCGCTGCCATGCAGGTAGGTTCCGGGTAAGGGGAGCTGGGTAGGGTGGGCTGGGGTGGGGTTGGCTGAGGCTGGGTGGGCTGGGGTTGGCTGGGGTTGGCTGGGGTTGGGTTGGCTGGGGTTGGGTTGGTCAAGGTGCATATTGGGATGGCACTGGGCGCAGCTGCAGGAGTATGGGCTGACGGTAGACGCGGAGCACTCAGGCCTCATGTTCATCCCCACCGCCACCATGCAGGTAGGGCTGGGGGAGAGGGGTCTAGGGCAGGGTGCTCTCATGGTTAGGGCGCTCTGGGGTAGGGCGGGCAGGAGTAGAGGGGTCTGGGGTATTGGGGTTCGTGTACGGCTGGCAGCTGCAGGAGTATGGGCTGGCGGGCAGTGGACGCAGAGCACTCGGGCCTCATGTTCATTCCCACCGCCACCATGCAGGTAGGGCTGTTGGGAAGCAGGTGGACCTGTGAGCATGGAGGTAGGGCAGATTAAATGTATGAGGTAGGGAAATCTGGGGTAGGGTTGGTAGTACGGTATGTGCATGTTGGGAGGTGGCACCTGTGGTGGGGCAGCCGCAGGAGCATTACCCGATGCTGGATGCACTGAAAGGAAACACTCTCCTTCTCTTCATCTTCTGTATGAGGTAGGGACATCTGGGGTAGGGTTCGTCCTACATGCATGTTGGGAGGTGGCACCTGTGGTGGGGCAGCTGCAGGAAACATTACCCGATGCTGGATGCACTGAAGGAAAACACTCTCCTTTTCTTCATCTTCTGGTTTCCTTTCCCAACCTGTTTCCCAGCCTGACGAGGAGGCTCGGGAGCAGAACGAAGCTGTGATGGAGAAGCTGCTGGAATTGGACGATGTGGATGCGGTGTACTGCAACCAATAGGCGTGCACACTGTACTCAATATTTGAGTTGAGACTGTCTGAAATCATTTGGGACTCTTTGAAGCTGTGCTGTGATGGAGAAGCTGCTGGAGTTGGTTGGACGATGTGGATGCAGTGTACTGCAACCAATAGGGGTGCAAACTGCATTTGATACTATACTGTTGATGCAGTGTATTGCAACCAATAGACGCATTGTACCTGAGATGGTATGATAATGTGGGGTGCCGTGCCATCCTGCTTATGCATGTGAACACAATATATAGCTCGATTTACTGTAATGCTTGTTCAGTAACATTAATCTGCTGTTGCAGGCACATTGTATAGTTAGTTAAATTTAAGGCCTGTGAAGTCACTACGAGAATGTAGGTATTGATGCTTTCAGTATAACACGGTCTCACAATATTGAGAACAAAAAACACAATAATTTTCCATACACACACACACACACACACACACACACACACACACACACACACACACACACACACACACACACACACACACACACACACACACACACACACACACACACACACACACCAGCACCACACACATGAGCACATAAACAAATTTCTGCTACTGTCAATCAGTCATATCACATGCAACCCATGCTGTCAGGCAGAGATGGGAGGATGAGGCCAGCGAACTATGGAGTGACACATGGGAGGGGGGAATGGGAAGGGGGGAACAGGGATAAGGGGAGATAGAAATAGTTGGGAGGAGAGAGGCAGTAAGAGGGGCAGAAAAAGGGGATTGGAGAGGGGAAGGAGAAGCAGGGAAGGTGCAGGCAGCAGGTCAGTCAGGGCAAGAGGAAAGAAGTGAGCAGATGGGTGTGAGGGAGGGCAAGAGGAAAGAAGTGAGCAGATGGGTGTGAGGGAGGGCAAGAGGAAAGAAGTGAGCAGATGGGTGTGAGGGAGGGCAAGAGGAAAGAAGTGAGCAGATGGGTGTGAGAGAGGGCAAGAGGAAAGAAGTGAGCAGATGGGTGTGAGGGAGGGCAAGAGGAAAGAAGTGAGCAGATGGGTGTGAGGGAGGGCAAGAGGAAAGAAGTGAGCAGATGGGTGTGAGGGAGGGCAAGAGGAAAGAAGTGAGCAGATGGGTGTGAGGGAGGGCAAGAGGAAAGAAGTGAGCAGATGGGTGTGAGGGAGGGCAAGAGGAAAGAAGTGAGCAGATGGGTGTGAGGGAGGATTCAGGGAAGACGAGAGTGAGGGGAAGGAGGGTGGTGTTGTGAGGACAGAAGGTGGGCAGATAGGGGAAGGGGGAATCGGTTGGAGGGACAGGAGTTGGAATGAGAAAATCGCAGGGGGGAGAAGAGGGGCAGGGAGGGACGGGAGGAGAGGAAGAGAGGGAAGGGAGAACAAGGGAAAAAAGGAAGGAGGGAGAGGGAAAGAGAGGGACGGGAGGACCTGGAAGGGAGGAGAGTGAACGGGTGAGAAGGGAAGATAGAGAATGGAGGAGCGGGGAAGATGGAAAGGGAGGAAAGTTGCAGAGAAGCAGAAGGAATGAGTCAGAGTTGGGAGAGAAGAGAAAAGGAGACATGGGGAGCGGCAGGGAAGGAATGAAAGGGAGAGACATAGATGACAGCGAGCAGCGAGGGGGAGGGAGGTCGGAGGCATCGCTGGAAAGAAAAGGGACGGAAGTGAGAGTGACGGGAGAGTGTGAGTGACGGGAGTGTGTGAGTGACGGGAGTGTCTGAGTGACGGGAGTGTGTGAGTGAAGGGAGTGTGTGAGTGAAGGGAGTGTGTGAGTGAAGGGAGTGTGTGAGTGAAGGGAGTGTGTGAGTGAAGGGAGTGTGTGAGTAACGGAAATGTGTGAGTAACGGAAATGTGTAAGTGACGGAAATGTGTGAGTGACGGAAGTATTTGAATGTCGGAAGTGGGTTGCAGGGATTTTTTTATAATTCTCAAAAAAGTCCCTGAAACGGGTTGAAAGCGCGTTAAGGGGAGTGACGAGGTCGAGAAAGCCTACGGTCGCGACGGTTAAAACGGAATGGGAGCAACCGACTGTAGCCAGTAACTTCTCCCACCCAGCCAAACGCTCGTTCTTGTTTCTCTCCGCGTTTTCCCCTCCCTCCTCCCCTCCCATTCCACCGCCAAGCCCCCCATTCTTCTCCCAGTTTTCCCTGCGCGTTCCGCCTGCGATTCCGCCAGTCCCGCCCACTCCGCTTCCAAGCCTTTCCTCACGCCTTTCCTCATGCCTTTCCTCGTCACACTGCTCCCATCACACTACGTTTCCAAGCCTCAAATCCGAAGCGAGCAGTGCCACGCCACGCTGCTCCCCAGACGAGATGGGTGCAACCGGCTACAGCCATTCCGATAACGGCTAGCCGTCAATCAAAGCGCATAACGTCAGAGTTTCTAGCTCTTGGGGGGAGGGGGAGGGGAGGTGGGGGGGAGGTCGGGGGCTGGGGTAACCAAACGCTTTGCATGCACCTTCGCCGACGCAGCATATTCGAGGCCTCTACATATCAAGCACGAACTGAGCCTGCCCATCGAGCCCTAACGAGGAGTTTCAAGCGCCTCAGAAAACTTTTTTTTCTCGTAAGTGGGAGGATGAAGTGCAGCCGCCGCAGGAGCGGCAAATGCGGGAGCAGGGCGACGAGCTGGTCACGCATCAGCAGTGATGCCGGCGACGTTGAAGCCCCCGCACGCGGCATGGTGTGCGAATTTCCACTTCCAAAATCCCTCTTGGAAAGAAAAGGTAAGATCAAAGTAAAACCAAGTTGAAAAGCAAAAACAAGTTGAAAGGAAATCTTGAAGTATGGAGTAATTAAGAATGAAGAAAGCTTTGAAGGAGAAGATAGATAGACTTGATAGGGATAAAAGGGACCAAACAAGATTGGCTTAAAAGAAAGTATTGAAGAAAAGGTAAAGGGCTTGAAAGATACTTGAAAGGAGCTTGTAACGAACTTGAGAATAAGAACTTGATTATTATGGAAAGAGCTTGAATATAAAACAACTTGATAATAGCAAATGAACTTTGATGTAAAAGAAACTTGGTGAAAAATGAGAGGAAGAGATAACCACTTACTTGAAAAGAGTTCTTACTATTATGTTGTAGAAGTTGATCTTCACTTCAAGCTTAAATGTTGTCTTAGTTGTTAATGAAGAACCTCAAAGCTTGAATGTTGAGAAGTTGATCTTGAATGTTGACTTGTAGATAATGTTTGTTGAATGAAGAGAAACCTCCAAGCTTGGATGTTGAGGTTGGAGCTTGGACCTTGGGTAGAAGAATACACCAATCTTGCTTGAAGCTTTAAAGTACATTAATCAAAAGGGAGGTACATGGTAGGATCTTGAGATCAACTATCCTTGATGATCTAGAAGTAAAACTATGTGGCACAAACTTCTCTAGAATTGGAGCATATGGCTATGAGCTTGGGTTGGGAGAGGTTGGTGGTGATGATGAAGCCTTAGGAGTTGGAGCATAAGGAGGAGGACTTGAGGTTGGCCTTGAGGGAGCTTGAAGAACTTGTTGAGAGTTTGGGTATGAAGTAGCATTGAAGAATATTAGTTTGAAGAAATGAAGAGGACCCTTTTGTATTTGGTGGAGCTTGATGTTGGATGAAGGATGAGGAAAGGATGAATGGTTGTGATTGGTTGAGTTGGATAAGATGGGGGTGATGAATGTGGCCTTGAAGTGAAGGCTTGGTGAAGAGAATGAATGTGGCCTTGAAGTTAAGGCTTGGTGAATGGGATGTATTTGTCAGATTTATATGACATAGCTACTGTAGGCTATAGTGGGGTGGCACATATGGGGTACAGTTTTCTAGGGTTTGCTTTTTGTACCCAACTTTCACTTAGTCATTCATTCCTCGTTTCTTCTCATGGTATCGAGCAGGTTCCCTAGTGGGAACGATTCCTAGGGCCCACCACCACGAAATTATTTTTCCTGCCCGGAGCGCGTTTTGCTCCGGCCCGAGTCGCGCCGCCCCTACGGCCCTTCGCGCCGCCCTTTAGGCCCGTCGCGCCCGTCGCGCCTGTCGCGCCCGTCGCGCCCGTCGCGCCCGTCGCGCCCGTCGCGCCCGTTGCGCCCATCGCCACCTTACGCGGCCCCGCCACCTACCTTCGCGGCCCCGCCACCTACCTGTGCGGCCCCGCCACCTACCTCCGCGGCCCCGCCACCTACCTGTGCGGCCCCGCCACCTACCTTCGCGGCCCCGCCACCTAACTGTGCGGCCTCGCCACCTACCTCCGCGGCCCCGCCATCTACCTGTGCGGCCCCGCCACCTACCTTCGCGGCCCCGCCACCTACCTGTGCGGCCCCGCCACCTACCTCCGCGGCCCCGCCACCTACCTGTGCGGCCCCGCCACCTACCTGTGCGGCCCCGCCACCTACCTTCGCGGCCCCGCCACCTCACTGTGCGGCCCCGCCACCTACCTCCGCGGCCCCGCCACCTACCTGTGTGGCCCCGCCACCTACCTCCGCGGCCCCGCCACTTGCCTGTGCGGCCCCGCCATCTACCAGCGGCCCCGCCACCTACATGCGGCCCCGCCACCTACTAACGGCCCCGCCACCTACCTGCGGCCCCGCCACCTACCTTTGCGGCCCCGCCGCCTCCTCTCAGCGGCCCCGCCGCCTCCTCCCAGCGGCCCCGGACGCCGCCCTCTCAGCGGCCCCGCCGAGCCGCCCAGCAGCCAAGCCGCCCAGCCGCCGAGCCGCCCAGCAGCCGAGCCGCCCAGCAGCCGAGCCGCCCAGCAGCCGAGCCGCCCAGCCGCCAGCAGCCGAGCCGCCGAGCCGCCCAGCAGCCGAGCCGCCGAGCCGCCCAGCAGCCGAGCCGCCGAGCCGCCCAGCAACCGAGCCGCCGAGCCGCCCTACAGCCGAGCCACCCGAGCCGCCCTATCCGGTAAGAGCAGCGCCCCTTTCACAGCACTGCCCTCACCCTACTGTTTGCGCTGCTAGTCTACTGCTGTCATGGCTACCCCTAGTGTCCTCGCTTTTGACGCTGAGGGTCGGGCCATTGACTTTGACGTCTGGATAGATGACCTGCAGCTTTTCTTACAGTGCGACAGGGCAGACGGCCTCTCCCTCTTTGACCTCACTTCTGGTGCCTCTCCTGCCCCCGCTGCTGCTGCTGACGCCACTGTTCGCTCCCAGTGGGCCACGCGCGATGCTGCTGCACGTCTTGCTGTGCGTCGCCACCTACCTACCTCTGAGCGTGCGCACTTTAGCCAGTACAAGAGTGCTCAGACCTTGTACGACGCTGTAGTTGCGCGCTACTCCTCCCCTGCCACTGCTGCACTTAGCCGCCTCATGCTACCGTACCTCTTCCCTGACCTTGCTGCCTTTCCCACAGTCCCTGACCTCATTACGCACCTCCGCACTAGTGACACTCGCTACCGCGCTGCGCTTCCTGCAGAGTTCTGCGCCAAGAACCCCCCCCCCATGTACATCACCCTCTACTACATAGTCACCCGGCTCCCTGACTCCCTTCGCGTAGTCAGGGACCACTTCCTCTCTGTTTGCCCCACCACTCTCACCGTTGACCTCCTCGAGAAGTCCCTCCTAGCAGCAGAGAAGAGCATAGTAGCTGTAGGAGCCTCTCGTGGTGACCCTCGCACCCCCATCTTTGAGGGGTGTTCCCCCTCCCCCCTTTTGCCCTCTGTTGCCTCTGCTGCTGCGGCCGACCTCGTTGGGCTTGAGTCGGTCGGTGCGGCGTCTACCCCTAGCGGGAGACGCCGCCCTGGCAAGGGCAAGGGGGGCAGGGGCACTGGAGGAGCTAGCGGGGGCGGTGGAGGCGGCGGTGGAGGCGGTGGAGGGGGTGGGGGTGGCGGTGGGGGTGGTGGCGGGGGTGGAGGTGTCGGTGGTGGCAGTGGAGGCGGAGGCGGCGGCGGTGGTGGCGGTGGGAGCGGAGGTGGCGGCGGTGGAGGAGGAGGCGGCGGAGGAGGTGGAGCTGGTCGGGGTGGCGCTGCGCAGAGAGTCGGCTCCGGTGGTGGTCAGCGCCAGCAGCAGCAGCAGCAGCAGCAGCGCACTCGTGACATCCCCTCCCCTCAGCAGCTCCGTGAGTGGTACGCTGCACGCCAGAGGGGCGGGGGTACTGGTCCGTGCACCTACGTCCTCCGCACCGGCGACCGCGCGGGTGAGCAGTGCGGGGGTGCGCACTCCACCCAGCGCTGCTTTGGCCGCCTGACGGACGCTTGGCGTCACCAGTTCCCTGAGGCCACTGAGATCCCCCGCTGGGGTGAGCTGTCTAGGGCGGGTGTGGCTGTCTTTGACCTTGACATTGATGCTATTCTTGCTGCCATGTATACTGTGACTATTAGTGATGAGGGTGACTGTTACCGGTGTTTTCCGCCCGACCCGGGCATTGAGACTGCTGCTCTAGGTACTGATGAGGCTGCTGCTCTAGGTGCTAGCGAGGCTGCTGCTCTAGGTGCGTCTGCTCCCTCAGGTGCTGGTGAGTCTGCTCTCTCAGGTTCTGCGTCGGCCTCGGCCTCCCACACCTTCACCCTTGACTCGGGGGCTTCTCGCTCCTTCTTTCGAGACCGCACCACACTCACGCCGCTTGGCCGACCAGTTGCGGTCTCTCTGGCAGACCCCTCTGGGGGTCCTGTCCTTGCTCACTTCTCCACTGTCCTCCCGTGTCCGGCGGCCCCCTCTGGCACCCTGTCTGGTCTTTACCTCCCCTCGTTCTCTACGAACTTGGTGAGTGGTGCTGACCTACAGGATGCGGGGGTTCACCAGTTCACTCCTGGGAGTCAGCGGGTGACCCACTGCACGGACGCTCGGACTGGCCGACACCTGGCCACGTTTACCCGTCGGCCGGGGTCGAGCCTGTACACCCTGACCACTGCGTCTCCTCCAGTCACTGCGTCTGGTCAGGTAGCTGCGTCAGGTCAGGTGTTTGCTGCAGCGTCCAGGTCTGGTCCTGAGTCTGCCCCCTGTTCGTGTCGCCTCCTGTCTCACGTCTTCCCCGGTCCCTCCCTCCCCTTCCTCCGGGGCCTGGCCCTACCTGCGTCCCCTGTGTCGAGGGGCGGCAGCGGGCTGCCCCTCACTCCTCCCAGTTTCCTCCGACAGAGGCCCCGCTGCAGACGCTTCACATGGACGTGTGGGGCCCGGCCCGCGTCCGTGGACAGGGTCACGAGCGCTACTTCCTGCTGGTGGTTGACGACTACTCGCGTTACACCACAGTCTTCCCCTTGCGCAGCAAGGGTGATGTCACTGAGGTGTTGATCGACTGGATCCGCGCAGCTCGTCTCCAGCTCAGGCAGAGCTTCGGTTCGAACTTTCCTGTTCTGCGTCTGCACTCTGACAGAGGTGGAGAGTTCTTCTCTGGCCTTCTGCGAGCCTACTGTCGAGCACGAGGCATCCGCCAGACCTTCACGCTTCCGGACTCTCCACAGCAAAATGGGATTGCTGAGCGCCGCATTGGCATGGTCATGGACGTCGCCCGTACGTCCATGATGCATGCGGCTGCCCCCCATTTTCTGTGGCCGTTTGCGGTTCGGT